GATAAGAAAAATATTTTCTAAAATGAACTTCATGGATAAAAAGATAGACTGATCAAATAAGATGATTTCTATAAGAATTGGTTATAAATGTGTTTAGAGTACCTTGGCATATACCTTATAAGTATCATTTAAAAATTTAATAAGTATCTAATTTATAAATTAAGATTTAATTTTACTTTTTAATAATAAAAAAATGAGGCCACAAGTAATTACAAGAAGAAAATGACAATATCTTTTAGCTTCTTTTAGCATCTCCAAGTAGTCTATTTTACTAACATCTCAAAATTGGATGAAAAATTCTATGATCATCCTATCTAGTCCTAAAGCTTTTTCTATTGTCATCTCTTGTAAGGCCTTATCTAATTCAAGTATGGAGATTGGAGTTGTAAGAACAGACTTCATATTATCAATTAGCTTGTCATTCATGCTATCTAGGATATGCATTATAGTTCTCACTTTATTAGGAGATGGAGATGCTATAGCATATATGTCTATTTAAAACCACAAGCATACTTCTTCTAGTGAAGATTAATCTGTTACTAATAACTTTATATTATTTTTCAGTATAATAATGGCAATATAATCTGATCACTCCATATTTATACAAAAATATTATTTTGATAATAGCTTAGCACCATTTTACTTAGCTTTGAATCCAAAAGCCCTCAGCTTTGCATTATTCAAATAATTGTAAGTTTTTTATTGCTTCTGCTGGTCAATCTTAAAGGACTATTTTTTTCAAGTTGATTTGAAACTCGATCAAAGCATAATCTACGTATTTTTGCTAATGCACCTCTATATAACAATACTACATAATTTTTTTAATCTTGTATCCTTAATAGAACTTGACAACTATCCACAATTTTTGTATGAAGTCATGGCTAGAGTTAGATGTTTATATTTAGATTACTTTAGTATAAACTTTAAGATCTATAAGATATACAATATTTATTTTATATGTAGAGATTTGATGTGGCTTACTTACTAATTATAGAATATTATTCATAAACTAATAATTTATAAGCATATAATTTCTTTTAATAATATATTCAATGATCACATTGACTTCTGCTTCAAGTGCTTTGAAAATATATATCATATCTAACCTTGCAATTACTTGGGTCTGTCCTTGTTTCCTATTATTTTAAGAGTACTACACTCTATTGGTAATAAAAAAGTTCTTCTTAATATTTAGTACTACAAATAAGTTTTTTTTTCCTTTTAAAATCACCTTTTTATAAGGTGAGGATTTATCTTACCTTTGCTCGAGAAAGTTTTAGTATCCACATATGACATATCAACAATTACATAGGAGTGAAGATAATAGTTCTATCCATAAGGAGCAATATTTTGAACTGAGTATTCAAGCATATACATTGAAAATAGTCAAGTCTCTTTTAGTAGCTTTTCATAGTCTTATCCATATTGTCTAATCACATCTACATTGACTTAATGTTTGAACCAAATGTTGGAGGTAGAATGCAACTCATATGTATATCTCGTCTTTGTCAACTCTGACATCTTAAATACTATAACCATATTTTATTTATTTCATAGGTACTTCTCAAACTAGCTAAAGTACCACAAGATGATTGGTGGCCTTGAAGAAATATATTGCATTCTTAAGAAGAGACCACAAAGATGTTTTATTTGTATAGAAGCTTGTGTTCTATAAGCTTTTTAGGTTAGAGAGTGAAGAATCCTTGATTAATGGCCTTTAGTAGATTTTATTTGATAATTGAATTTGTACTTCAAATGGATATCTTAAGAAGCTGGGATGAAAATGAAGTAAATTTGTATGGACTTCTTTCAAGTTTACATGTGCTAATTGTTCCATTATAGCAATTATAACAATTGGTAGTAGAATATTTTTATTTATATGCTTTGCCAAGATGGCTTTTGGCCGACTATGGTTATTATATTGAAAGACTTTATTTTAGCCATGTAACGTAAAAGAAATTCCATCTATGGTTCTTTCAGCTTTTAGATTTGTAACTAGTGGGTCTATTATCGTTGATACTACAAGAATAAATCAAGTAGTAATTGAGCATGGACTGGAAGCAGGATTTGAATTGGGTATAGATAGAATTGTTTCTATTCTATGCAGTGGACAAGTATACTACTCCATTGTGGTCTTTTGTGGATTAATTTGCTTTGAATGCTTTCTGATTATTTGATGTCATTGTTTCATGTCTAGATCAAGATCAATATTTGAAATACAATTAAAACCTCTTATAATTTATTTTATTTTATTTTATTTTATTTTTGCAGTATACTTTCTTCCATCTATTTGACTTATACTTTAGGATAAGTTTAGATTTGCAGTTAGAGTAGTGATTGCCAAAGCGTATGGTATCTTGATTCAAAGAGCTTGTATTATTTTTTTGATTTATTAATGAGTCGGTGTTGTGGTAGAGAGAATTTGTCTTAAGAAAGTGCTCGGATTCTAGCTGTCACTAATTGCTCAACCAAGCCTCTAGATTAAAAAAACACCGAGTCTATATATAATTTTTTTTTCTTATAGGAGCAATTACATCAATACATAAACCCTAAATACTAAAGGTCACCAAAAATGTGATAAGAATATTATAAAACCTTGTATATTCTTAAGGTGAATTTTTTTCAAACTTCAACAACTCATATCTCACAATGGAACCATCCAAACAAACCAAAAATTTATATGAAGTATTAATATACTTTTAACAACTATCAAAACAAATTTCAATTGCAAATTTGTTACGAATCTTGAAATATTGCCAAAATCCTAACAATAACTTCAAACCCTTTTTTACATATACTTGTGTGCAATTTTCTTTATATTTCACAAACTAAGTATTCAAATACCATAAAATTTTGATATATAGCTTCTTAATCTAATAATATACACTTCTAGAAATTTTGAGCCAAAAATTCATCCAAAAATTGAAAATATGGCTCCAACCATTACTATCAATAAAATGACTCACTTATTGCCTTTGAATTACATGTGCTTCTTTGACGCTCTATAATTTATTCATAAAAATTTCAAATGCAGAAATTCCTCCACAATAGGTGTAGATCTTAAAATCATCCTTGTGGCCGAATCTCTCAATCTCCAAAATCTATTATAAAACTCCTTCTATTCTCAAAAGAGCAGCAATATGTCTTAAAAAGATACCTTAACTTCATCATCTTTACTCCAAATCTTCTAAAATTTGCATACAAATTGTAGTCCAAATCCTAAACCTTGAAATTCTTACTTTTGATTTTAAAATTATCTTTTTAAAATTTCCGAAACCCTTGTTATGGTTGCAGATAGGTTATTGAATGCCTATTAGGCATAGCATTCGACCAATAAGGATGAAGATTTTTATCTTTAGCCTTTATCAATCCATACCTTACTTTCATCCTTCCAAATAAGCTTCTTAGAGGTTTGAATCTTCATCTTTGAGCCCCAATCTTCTCTTTAAATTTTATACTAAATATCCAAATCTTATATATTTTAAACTTTATAATCAACCTAGATAAACCTCAAAATAAATTTTCTTACATCAATTCTCTTTATATTAACCTACTAACTATTCTAGAGTATATCAATACTTATAACAATATTTTGATTATCACCAATTCATTGTTGAGGATTAATACACAAACTAGATGTAGAGCTAATTAAGGGTATAAAAATGATGCAAAATTTCAAACAATTCAATCAAGAATCTAAAATTTCTAATAATATTACCTGAAATTATGAAGTAGAGATTTTAGAGCATAAAAATGTTTGTAAATATTTAAAGATGCTTGTAAGTAAAAAATATATATATATATATATATATACATATATATATATTTGTAAACACATCTTTTAATTTTTTGAGCTTGAATATATTAGTGGAAGTAAATAAAATTATTACTACTTAAGAAGATAATATAAGAAATTTTGTCCAAAATCATTATTATTTATGAAATTTCTTTACATTTAAAATAAAAGAAGGTAAAGACATATTAGCTTATATTAATAAGAAGAAAATACATGCCAATTAACTTATAATTGTGGATCTTCTTCTTTTAGAAGTAAATGAAGTAATGACATTGTAAATGAACTTGCCAAATTTTTATACACGTTTTATTACAACTTTAGAATTTATTTCTATTTAGGATTTTAAAATAGGTCAGACCATGATAAAATTGATGCATAAAGTTACTAAGTGTAACGAAAAAAAAAACAAAAAAATTTAAAAAAATCTAATGTGCTTATCTCTTTTAAAACTAACACCATTTTTAATTTTATTAAATTGTTTCAAACCTTAGATTTATTTAAAACTTTATAGTCTTTTTGTTCTTAGAAATAACAATTTTTAAAATAGAATATGTGATAAGAATATCTAGCTTCATGTAATCAATGCATAAGTTTCATGCCATTAACATCACAGTAGATTAAAAAATACAATCAAGTTGTAATATCTGATTTTTTCAAAAATTAATGCTCTATTCAGGGTAGATTACTATTTATTCCATTAAATTAACAATGCAATTAGATTTATCTACAACATCATACAGTGCTTTGGAGAAGCATTATAAGCCACTACACATATCTATAAAATACAAATATTGTAGTAATTATGATAAGAACAAATGACACTTTTAACGTGAAAAAATGCTGATTTTGATTTATAAAACGTGAGTTGAAGTTGTTCATCTATCGATGCCAACCTTATTTTCAAACAATGTTAAATATTCATTGCTAATCTGTTGAATATAAACACAAAAAAAGTTAATATTACCATGAAATAATATAACATTCTAATTGAATTGTTACAAAGCACCAGAATTCTCTGCATTATATACATATACAAAGACAGACAATTATGTATATGTATGTATATACACATACATGGGAGAATGAATTTACAGTTTTAGCGAATTTTGATGCTCTAAAACAGCAAACCCAAATATCAGAAGCTGGGGATCTGGTGTAGCAACGTCCACGTTCTCCCGAAGAGAGTATTGAGAGGCTGGCTGTACACTTGGACACTGCCACTCTAACTTCAGGATAAGGCTCGCAACTGGTGATGCTAACCCAACTCCTTGCTCGCCCTCAGTCATCGCCATTCTAACCAGAGCTCTCTTGTCACATCCTGGAACATCACCACCTTGATCACACAAATCAGGCCCATCAAGTTTTGGTGAGAGTTACCGTCTCTTGTATTACATGCAATGGCTCATGCTCCCTTACTTTCTATGAATTTTACTGCATAATCCTCACAAGTAATCGTGAGGAGGGCAATGTGGGTCAGTCGGATGTTCGGAGTGGGCAGAGGGCATACGTGTGGAGAGTGGTTTTGATTTGTTGAAATGTTTGAAATGGTTGAAGTTGTGCTTGCGCGCGTCGGTGGGGAAGTGGGCTGAGATGGTTGTGGGATTGGGCTGTGTGGGTAGCAGTGGAAGCTATGGCGGCGGTGTCCATGACGCGCGCCTTGAGTGCTCCTTCACTGGCAAGCTCCTTCTCCTCAAATGTGGCGTCGTCCCCATTCGTGTGTGGGAATGCTGCCGTTTCAGTGCCGCCACGAGCTACTAACCCGGCAACTACAACCAAGGTAATCGCCACTTGGAAATTGACGGTAGACTTACCAACTACACTGTGGGTGAGGGGTTGATTTTGATTTGTAGATGGTTTCTTTTGAATTTCCATGAAAATGTGGTTTCATTGTACTAAGGCATTACAAGCGATTCTAGGGTCTGAAATATTGTCCCTGTGGAAGTAGAAGTGTGCAACCACGCCCTGTAACCTTTTTGGAGTTCTTCCATATCTACTCATTGGCATGTATCATTCGAACTCAAGATTAATGACCCGGCTTGTGTAGTAAGGGTGCTGATTTTGACTGAATATTGTCTAGGAGCCATTTTGCGAAGCATGGTTGAAACATGCAAGTTCCGTTGTTTTGGTTCTGTGCTTTTGAATAGGTCGGAGTGAGGTGCCATGCATGTGACAAAGACGAAGTGGCAGTGGGCCGAAGAGAGGTCTTCGTTGGTCTCTCTGCTTCAGTGGCAGCAGTAAGTGATTCATTACACCCCAACAATGTTGCCCTTCGGCTATCAGAAGCGCCTCGAGGACATGAACTTTACGATGACTGTTTTTAGATTCTCGTCTCCGCCATTGACAGTAGACCTTGAATGAGGACTCTTTTTTTTGAAAATATAGGGTACGAATAATGAGTCGGTTAGGTTCAAATGAATTTGGCAGGGTGGAGTGTGGACTTCGGTTGCTGGAGGTGACGAAGCACAGGCTGCTGACATTATTCAAAGGCAGCAGCGCGGCATTTTCCTCAGTGAGTCTCATTCGAAGCCTTGAACTGTGTTTATCTTCACTTTTAATCATGCAGTACCGCATTTTGCTGGATGTACATAATTTGATGGCAAGTGAGGAGTGGATGTATTCTTGTCTAAATTGAATCCACTGCGTGGCGTGCATGAAGCGAACGTGAAGGATAAACTCAGAGTGGAGATAGCTGTATGTCTTCTCCTCTTAACCTATCGACTTACACCTTTTGCCTACCGTTGAAAGAGGAGGTTTTGTCTTGCATGATTTCTCGCACATTGTGTTCCTCAGCATGGTTAGCCAGTTCAATATTGTACCTTACGCATTTCAGGCAAACCCGGAGTATATTCCAGATCTTCTCAAGTTAGCGCTTAATGACGCCTTGACTTACGACAAGGTTGGCCTCTGCGCTTGCTTACAGTTTGTCCTCTTTCTCTATTTTTTCGTGCATTGAATTCGTTTTGTATTTAAAAATGTTCAAAACTCTTCCTTTTTTCATCCAGCTGAGGAAATTATAAACTTATGCCTTTCTTACACAGGATTCGAAGAGTGGTGGAGCTAATGGATCGGTGCGTTATGGTATGCGTCCAACGTTGCCTTATCAGAGCGTTCGATGTTGTAGGGACGATCTATTCATATCTTGCAAAAAGTGCTTAGGATGCTGCCTTCCAGTCTGATTTTGTTGAAGTGCAGCACAGAGCTGAACAGGCCAGAGAATAAAGGGCTGGAAAGGGCACTCAGCTTCCTGGAAAATATCAAGAAAACTATAGATGAAGCAGCTGTGACCTTGGGCGGCCCCATTTCGTATGCGGACCTTATTTCGATTGCTGGTATGTGTTCCTAGAATCCTACATTTCGATCCTTTCTTCTCTGATTGGGGGGTACATTTCGATATTGACCGACGTATGTGAAAATTTGAATTTGAATTTGTTCGTTGCTGGAGGTGAGTGGAGCGATCTGTTGCCAATAATTTATTGCTGGATAATGTACAGCTCAATCTGCTGTAAAGCGCACGTTCATCCAAGCAGCCGTTCGCAAGTGCGGTGGTGACCAAAAGAAAGGGGAGCAGTTGTACACCGCTTATGGCTCGACTGGGCAGGTTGGATGCTAACGTTACCTTCATTTCCAGCTGCTGTAATGCACTGCTTTGATACTCCCGCAATCTGAGTTGATTAATGTAATCGATCTTTTCATGTTGCAATGCAGTGGGGTCAGTTTGACAAGCTGCTGGGCCGAGCTGATGCTTCAGAGGCTGACCCTGAAGGCAGGGTCCTTGCATGGGAGACTGCCTCTACCACCGAGATCAAAGATAGGTTCGCTGAACTGGGCATCAAGCCGAGACAGGTCAGTTGGTGTGCAACTCACAATTTTCACCACATTTCGCTTCAATTGAGCGTAGAAGCTCATTCCTTCCATGTGAAGTCTTACTAATGCAGCATAACACCGCGTCTATATGTGCAGATTGCTGTCTTATCAGCTTTCTTAGGGCCTGACCAGTCTGCTACAGAAGCCAAGTTGGCCACCGATCCTGAGTTTGCACCATGGGTGAAAAAGTACCAAGAAAGCAGGGAAACTGTCTCACAGACTGACTATGAGGTGAGATTCATACCAGCTCTGCTCTGAGGGGCTAGCACAATGCAGTCTACAGTGCAGATTTGCTGACTGGCGTGGACAACAATGGCATTTCGATCGTTTCATGCGATATAAGCAGTGGATATTCATTTCATACGTCGTATGTGGCAGGTGGATCTGATTACGACATTCACAAGGTTGAGTGTCCTAGGCCAAAAGAATATCAACTATGAAGCATACTCATACAAGCCAAAGGGTACCATAAAATTTTAGATGGATGGTGTTGATCTTGCAGCTCGTTCTCACAGCCGTGCCTACATGAAGAGTGCCAATTTAGTGCAGATTAAGGTCGTGGATTCAGAGTTTTCGAAAGTCTTGAAGTGCCATGGTTCTGAAGAGCTGCTTTGTAATCTTTGCACAAGTAAGCAGGATGTCTCTGGGTCTTGTTGTTAGGTCACTCACATCAAGAGCAATCGCATGGATTTATGATTGTCGTGTACCACAAGTTTTTGTTGTCGCTTATTCTATTTCCTGCTGGAGTGAACATCCCTGTTGCACATCCTGTCGTGATGGCAGGAGTGAAAAAAACCACATACTAACTTTGCATCCAACAAAACCCCCAATATCTAACACTCTAAACTGGATGATTGAAATGTTAAGAGTTTTGTGGGGTTCTTTCACTTGTTGTGAATATCAGCACTCTGATTGAAGAAGACAAAAAACAAAAAATTCCGAATTCCAATTGTGTGTGTGACTAGACGCTAACTAAAGACGGAAAGTACCAATTACAAAATTACTGTCTTGTTACAGTTAGAAACACAAATCACTAATAGATAATCATGTTGTACTCCTTAGATGTAAATTCTGTAATGAATTAAAAAAGACTGTTGAATTATTCAATTAATTTGGAATATTAAAACAATACTTTAGAAATTAAGCATCAAAATAACATTTCTCCTTATTTAATGTATTACAATCTTATTTAACATTGATTGTAAGCTATTAACATTACAAAAATAGATACAAACACAAGTTATTTTATTTTAATGAGAGATCTTAGTTTAATGTTCTTCTTTTTTTTTTTACATGTGCATATCTATATACTGTGTATATAAATCAAGACTATAATTATAATCTATATAAATTGCATTTGATATAATTTAATATATTGTTCAATTTAGATTCATATTATTATAAGTTTGATAAAATTTAAGATAATGCAAGTCTAGCATATAATGTTATGAAAAATCAAACTGAAGATATTGAACTTGGATAAATATAGTTTTAGTGGCTATAAATCTTTGTATCAATCAACCTTATTTTTTATTTTTTATTTTTTATTTTTTTTGTGTGGTAGTCTCAAACATTTATGCTTTAGTAATAATAATTTTTCGATCTTTTATTCATATTCAAGTTTTAATAATTTTCTTGTTTGCTAGCTTTGCTACAAATATAAAAACTTCCATAAAAAAATACGTTTTAAATGATGTATAATTAAATAAAAATTAATAAAATAAGATAAAAATAATAAAATAATAAAAAGAGTCTTAATTTTTTTTTAAATGTGGATTTTTAAAAACTTTAAGAAAAAAAAAATACTCTTATGTCTAATATAAAAGATCAAACTTTGATATTACTTTTGGTAGTCTTAGAATTGTTTTAAGAGCATTGCTCTACAATAACTTCTTAAAATATAATTTATACATCAATAATTAAAATTAAGTAAATATAATTAACTTTATGTATGTCTTTAAGATATTCAAGGATTTCTTATTTTTTGGTTTTTTTTTAAATTTAGAGATACTGAAGTGTTTGTAATTAAATTTAAATAAAAATATAAATAATAATATCAATAGAATTAAAATATTATAATAATAATTATTATTAAATTCTTAAATAATTTTATGTTCTTTTAATTAAAATCAAGTTACCAAAAAATTGGAAGAATAAGATCCCCTATCTCTCAACTCATAATTCATCTTGTTGCTTCTTGTGCTTTAGATCAATTGCGCTTACAATTGATTTTTTTTCCTTTTTTTTTTCCTTTTTTTATTTTTTCTTTTCTTTTTTTTTTAAATTTTTTTAATTTTTTTTTTTTTGCAACGTCTATTTACTTATCAATTATTCTTTTATAATTAAAATAAATTCTTTAAGTTATTTGTATACTCTATCATTTTATTAATATTATATTTTTTTAGATGCTTATTTATCAACAACTATATCATTTTTTTTATTCTTATAAGATTATATCATAGGAAATGTTTAAATAAATTCTTATTTTTTATTAGGTATATAAATATCTAAGATATAATTTGTAATTTTTTTTAGTATCTTCTATTTAAGTTTAAGAAATGATCTACCAATGCATAGTAACATAGGTTATAGATCTCTTTGGTAGTTTCTAATCTACTTAGAATAATTATATTTTTATTGTAATAGTCATTTTCTTACTTAATACTAAGATAAATTTCATTTTTTTTACTATTCATTATCCTAGCCTATTTCTAGGACTTACCTATTATTAATTGCTACTTGCAAGGTAAACTTAACCATTTTCATTAATCAATGTATTAATACAATCTATTTAGAGACTTTAATTGATCATATACTATCTTAATTTACTTCTTGATTTATATCTTTAGTATTAAATATTTTGATTGTATACTTAAATCATGATTTAATTTTAAAAATTTTATTAATATATATTTTTTAGTACAATTGTTTCATCTACCATGTAATCTTGTTTTACTAGCAAATATATAAATTGGACTTAAATAAACATACTCCTTAAAAAACAAATAATAATATCATAATAACTTACAAACCCTTACATTTCAGCTTTAAGTGTGTTATTATATATAATAACTAGACATAATTTAGTGCAAATAAAAATATCAAGACAACTTCCAAAACATCTATTTAATAATGTTTACAAAAAAATAGTTCTAATTTGATATTATCTTATATTATATTATTTAAAATTATATATTTATATAGGATTCTAATACTAACTTATTTTTATTTTAATATTAGGTTGTTTTTTAATTATTAGGTTTTATCTTAAATATTTATATATTCTCATTCTTTGCATATTTTTCAAAGGTCTATTGTAATTTTAATTTCTAATAAATATTTAAATTTCAAAATTAACATAATAAATTTAAAGTGTTATACTAAGTTATCAATTTTTTCGGTACAAGCAACTAATACTAGACTTGTATCAATGTGTCTTAGATTTTTCAATATTAAAGATTGTACATCAGTTTTTAATTTTAATAATACATTTTTTTTCTATCTTTCTTTAATTCTTTATGTTTTTTAAATGAATTATATTCTAAAATGATATAAATAAGATTTATAACCATAGAATTTTTGGATTTTGATATCTAGTCTATATTCATTTTTTAAAGATATAAATTTTAAGTATCTATTTTCTTATGTAAAGCATATAAATATCTTCACACTCAAATTTGTTTAGAATAATTTTTATTTTATTCATTAGGAACATAGAAAATAATGTAAATTCTATTTTTTATAATTTTTTAAAACTAAAATTATTGTGAAATTTAAATTCTTATTCATTTTTTTAAATATCATATTTAAATAAATTAAATTAAAAATTAATTTTTTTATTATTAATTGAATAATTTAATATTATAATATAAAAAATTTAGATATAAGAATCTAATATATAATAAAATATATAAATAGATATAATTTTAAATCAATGAATTAATATTTTTAAAAAAGAAATTATTTAATTTTATATTTTTAAAGTTATATTTTATACCATAAAGCTTAGTATAACACATCTAGAATAAATTAATAGTATAATTTATATTATAAATGGATTACTAAAAAAGACATGTATAATTAAATTTCTATTAAAACCAAAGCAAAATATATGTGTATGTATATATATATATATATATATATATTCTTTCTTTCTTTCTTTTTTTATTTTTTTATATTAAAAGATTACTTATATTAATGATTAAAAATTAAAGATAGAATGTAAGAATTATAATACTTAATCTAAAAAAATCAACACCTAAGGATTCAACTTAATATGTTTAGATATCCCAAATAATATTGAAAACATGTTTATTTGATGCTAAGAGTTATAAAAACATATAATATAATCATAGATATTTAAAAAGTTTTTTTGTATATTAATAAAGTAGCTATGTACTATTGTAAAGAAAATGTATATACATATAAAAAAAGATCTAATATAGAAAATTAAAAAAATATATTGTAAATAATTAGAATTAAAATTTTTTAATCAAAATATTATTATAGATAATTAGTAAATATAATATTTTATTTTTTAAAAATATTTTATATTATGAATTTCTAAAAAATTATGATCTAATAAAACAAATAATATATATTTAAAAGATATCTTTTTATTACATAAATTAAAATTTATCTTTAATATATTTATAATTTGATGTAAATTCACAAGTTTTTTCTTAAAATTATATAGTATTTGAAATATTAATTTGTGTTTATTTTTACAAAATAATAAAATATATATTTCAAATAAAAGAGATAGATTAGCTAAAATATCTAAATTTATAATAATAATTTTATAATCATAAAAAATTTTAATTATAAATATGATAATTTATTTAAAAATATTTTAGTTCTTCTAATCTAAGGCATAAAAAATATGATATAAATTTACTTACAATAACTGTTGTAATAAGTGTAATTAAAAGCTAAATAGCCAAAAAAAGATGCATGTAACTGATCCAAATATTTGACTTCAAATGAATCTAAATCAATTGATTTTTTAATCAAACATGCCTCAACATGAAACACATGCTCCAACTTCAAAGTCTCAAGTAGCTTAATGTCATACTATAAATTAATTCAATTTTTACTTGACTTTATAGTATGTTTGTGTCAAGGATATGAGTTTCAAAGAACCAAAAACTCAATATACACTTATGTAACTCAAAAAGAATAGATATTCATTCAAAATTAATATAATATTGAAATTGAAAATGCTATTGCAAAAGACAAGAAGACTAGAAAGTGTTGAAACAAGACCAAAAACTAAAAAAACATTGGCAAGAGTGAAGAAAGCATTTTTTTTGCTTCTATATATACTATCTAACTAGAAGCTACGTGACAATATTCTATAGGACCTTTGACACATGTCCAACTTGCAAGACATATTTTAACTTATAAGACAAGTTTTTAATATGTACACCACATAATTAACTTATTCTACAAGCTACCAGCATGTGTGATACATGCCTAATTTGTTGGCCAAGTTTCCAACCTACTAATCAACTATAAATATATTTATATATATTTATATATATTTATATATGTATTTATGAAGCTTTGTCATAAGATAATATTAAATTTATTTATATTTATTTTTTATTTAATACTTCTTATTTAGATAAATATATATGTCTATGATATTAACCTCCCTTCTAAGAATGAATTCTATGAGAAGTAGCCATC